CCGACGTCAAGTGAAGTGGAAGGAAGAAACCAGCAACATCAGCAAAAATGGGTCGAAAAGAAAAGAAGCGAATTGATCGAAACCCGCATTGCAGTGGCCGAAAAATGGCTCGTGAGCTGAAGATATTGCAATATTCCATTCGGCAAATATTGAAAAATGAGGTCGGGGTAAAGCCATTGAAATTTCAAAAATTGTAAGAACTTACACCGCAATAGAAAGAAAATTGACTCAAAAGAGCTAAAGATTTGCTACGCTTGGTCGAAAGGTGTGAACTGCCGAATTTGGTTTTCTCCGATGATAAAACATTCGTTGTCCAACAGTTAGTAAACAAACAAAATGATCCGCTCGTGTTTACTTGTCAAAGAGGTCAAGTCAGCTGAAAGTGTGCACCTCGGTTGGCCACCAGAACTCAAGCGCCGGCCATGGTGATGGTGTGGGCCGCCGTAAAAGCCTATGGTCGCTCTCCGCTCGTATTAATCGACGGTGGCATCAGAATAAATGCCGAATATTACCGCGAAAATATTCTGAAGGGTGTAAAAGCCTGGGGCACGCAAACATTTTGGCCGTAGGCCTTGGATATTCCAACAGGACTCAGCACCATTGCACTCAACACGCGCCACCCAAGAATGGTTACAAAATAAGGTTTCTCGCGTAATTTCCAGCACACAATGGCCACCAAAATCTCTGGATACCAATCCGTTGGACTATTGTGTCTGGAGTATTTTGGAAAGCAAGCTTGGCACTAAAAAATGCCAAATTGTCGATCACGTCAAGCAAGCGTTTCGCCAGGAATGGGCCAAAATACCGCAGAGCAAAATTTGGGCAGAGTGTGATGGTTTTATTGGCCGTTTGAAGGCCATAATTCATGCCAAAAGTGACCAATTCGAGCAAATCTAAACTTATTCTAAAATTTGAATCTATTTCTGACATTCAATAAAATGAAAAAAGAAAATGTAAAAATTATGGCGTTTAACTTTGTTGCAGTTTTTCTTATCTCACCCTGTATATATGGTGTATACATTGTGACATCACTCATACGTACCGATGTACTGAGAAGGAAATATGTTAATGGCTATTTCTTAGATTACACTGTGTGATGATTATTTTAAATTTTATCAATAATTACAGAGAACAACCGACAGATTAAGGAATTAAAACTAAAACATCAGACACGTGTATGGGCGTTTTAAAAGTTTACATCGCCAAGTAACGTCAACCGAGGGCACAAGTTTCCCCCTCTTTCAAATTTTCGGAATTTTTCGAATGAAGATTCCTCGGAATCTGTGCATTTTAGGTATATAGTGTCTTTGGCAATATTGGAAATAAAAATTCAAAGAATTTTAACCCTCAGCATATTTTGGAAAAGAGATCAAAAGGACTCTTTTCCAAAATATGCTTAGAAATTCCCTTAAAACGGGATCGTAGCAAGTTGAAACATTCCACAAAATTATTTATCATAAAATTTTACTATACGTCCGGAAAGGCACCATAAGTCTTGATCTAACCCAAACGCCAAGAATTCAAATACATTGAAGAGACATTTTGGGGTTAAAACCATACTTCACAAGAGTGCTTCTTACTAGAAGGACAACAATGCTTCTTATTAGAAGGATGAAGTCAAAGAGAAAAATATTCTTCATTAAATTTCACTATCAGTTTCCCCAGAAAAGAAATCTCTATAACCATTGTATGTCAAAAAAATATTTGCATCAATGTTCCAAAAAAAAAAAAAAAAAAAGGAAAATATTCCTTTAATTTTTTTTATAGCCTAAGCTGGTTAACTCATATTGATCAGCTTGTTAGCTCACATCGTTGAGCTGAATAACTCACACCGATGGCTCACATCTGACGAAGTTTCTTTACCTCTAATTGTACCACCTGGCGTATACGTTATGACAATATGTATACGCCATCATATTAATTTCCCATGAAATCTAAGTTCTCTCTACTTCAAATCTTCTTAGATGTTTACCACCAACATATTTATTCATTATTATTTTTATTTGTACACAATGACACACATCCACACTTGCATACATTTAAATGATCAATTTAAATATATCCTGAACAAGTTTTTTTCCCTTCGCCTGCATGTGTGTAACTTAGAGATAAGAGCAAGAAAAAGGACCAGGCAGACAGACAGACAATCCTCTTTCAAGTGTTGTAACATTGTAATGTAAACACGCAAACACGGAATGTGTGTGTGAGTGTAATTTAAACGTATTTTATTCGCTCCCCTCTTCTTCTCGTTTTTTCCTTGTTTTCCTCTTCACTCGAGTAAACAGTCTTTTGTTATTATTTGTGTTTATTTTTGTCATTTGTCTTGTTGTAACAAGACAAACAAAGCATCATTGCGTTGTTGCTCCTGTGTTTTTTTTTTTTCGCTCCCTCTCTCTCTCTCTCCCCAACTCCAACTGCCGGTTTCAATTCTCTCGTGTCGATTTAATGTGTGGAGTGCCGTTGTTGTTGCTGCTGCCGCTGCCGTTGTGGTGGCAGACTATGTCGCTGTTATTTCTGTTGTTGATGTCGAACTTAATACGTGTGTACCAAATTATGAAGGGAATTGCTAACAAATTTCTGTTAAAAACTGGGACATGTATGAAATAATCGTAAACATAATTGTGTGTGTGCGTGTGTGTGTGTGAGCCTGTTCGTGTTCAGACAATCCCATTATATGTCATGGTTGTTCATTTCGGTGGCATTGTTTGAAGAGTTTTCCGAGGAGAAGGAAATGATAGCGAGAAGTTGAAGATAAATTTCGCAAATAATGAGAACAAATAAATAAATAATCATTACGAGAGGGGAGGGGACAGCTAGGCGTATGGCTGTTGCCACAACGTATACGCCATCGGGTGCAGTTAATTAAATTAACCGGGTGAAATGAAGATGTACGAAAATTGTGAGAAATGAAAGGAATATTTAAAAAAAAAAATAAAAATTATCTGTTGGATTTGCCGACAGATGTATATCCTCAGCCAATATTCGATTATTTATTTAGAAAATGTTAAAATGTGCGTGAGGTACCAGATATGGTCGACCGAAGTATTTTGTTTTTATACTTCATCTAATACAGATGAAAATAAAATAAATAAAATTAAACAATCGATATGAGCTAGGCAGCTCATCGATGTGAGCTAGTCAGATCATCGATATGAGGTAGTCAGCTTTTCGAAATAAGCTAGGCAGCTTAGCGATATGAGCTGGTCAGCTTATTTATATGAGCTAGTCGGCTAATCGATAGGAGATACTCAGCTCATCGATATGAGCTAGCCTGCTCTTCGATATGAGCCGGCCAGCTCAGCGATATGAGCTACTCAGCTCATCGATATGAGCTGGGCAGCTCATCGATATGAGCTGGGCAGCTCATCGATATGAGCTGGGCAGCTCATCGATATGAGCTAGCCAGCTCATCGATGTGAGCTAGCCAGCTCATCGATAAGAGCTATTCAGCTCATCGATATGAGCTAGTCAGCTCATCGATATGAGCTGGTCAGCTCATCGATGTGAGCTAGTCAGCCCTTCGATATAAGCTAGTCTGCTCATCGATATGAGCTGATCAGATCATCGATATGAACATCGAAGCAGCTCATCGATATGAGCTACTCAGCTCATCGATGTGAGCTACTCAGCTCATCCAAGAGCTAGGCAGCTCATCGATATTAGCTAGTCAGCTCATCGACATGAACTAGTCTGCTCATCGATATGAGCTAGTCATCTCAGCTCATCAATACGAGCTACTCAGCTCATCGATACGAGCTACTCAGCTCATCGATATGAGCTAGGCAGCCCATCGATATGAGCTCACCAGCCCATCGATGTGAGCTAGCCAGCTCATCGTTGTGAGCTACTCAGCTCATCGAGCTACTCAGCTTATCGAGCTACATATATGAGCTGGTCATCTCATCCATATGAGTTGGTTAGCTCATTCATATGAGTTGGTCAGCTCATCCATATGAGCTCCTCAGCTCATCGATATGAGCTGCTCAGCTCATCGATGTGATCTAGCCAGCTCATGGATATGAGCTAGTCAGCAAATCGATATGAGCTAATCTGCTCATCGATGTGAGCTAGTCAGCTCATCGATATGAGCTTGTCAGCTGATCGATAAGAGCTAGTCTGCTCATCAATATGAGCTAGTCAGCTATATGAGCTAGTCAGCTATATGAGCTATTCAGCTCATCGATATGAGCCAGCCAGCTTATCGATATGAGCTATTCAGCTCATCGATGTGAGCTACTCAGCTCTTCGATATGAGCTAGTCAGCTCATCGATGTGAGCTACTCAGCTCATCGATATGAGCTACTCAGCTCATTGATGTGAGCAAGCAAGCTCATCGATGTAAGCTAGCCAGCTCATCGATGTGAGGTAGGCAGCTCATCGATATGAGCTACTCATCCATGAACTGGTCAGCTCATCGATATGAGCTGGTCAGCTCATCGATATGAGCTAGGTAGCTCATCGATAAGAGCTAGGCAGCTCATCGATGCAACTCATCCATGAACTGGTCAGCTCATTAATGTAAGCTAGTCAGCTCATCGATCTGAGCTAGTCAGCTCATCCTTGAGCTATGCCACTCATCCTTGAGCCAGTCTTCTCATCCTGGAGCCAATCAGCTCATCCAGCTCCTCATGGAAGAATTCTGAATGTATTTTCTATTGCCCCCCATGACGTATGAGTATTGTCATAATGTATACGTCATGGTATACATACTTTTGAATATATCAATATTCCACTATCCTTTGTTATTTTTCCACTAAATACACACTATCCTCCTTAATATCCTGCCACGAAATACCCAGAAAAAGGAATTAATTAAAACTATGAATATGAAAACCCCCCCGAAAACATTGATACAAAGTAAAATCAAATATAGTTTCAGTCCATTGCAATCTTTTGCTTTTCCCAGAATTTCATTTGAATCCGCTTAGTGAGGGATAACTACAGGTTGTAAGCAGTTTGCAGTGTAGGTGGGGGACTACGAAGGAATACATATCACAGGATTTATCGAGAATTCATTGTGTTGATTTTATTAAAAGCTTCGAAGTAAAATTGTTACATATCTCTTTCTCGCTGGTCATTGTGTCTCTCGATGATTATTCGATTCGATATCGCATTTCCTGGAACAAAGGATATGTCTTGTTTACAATATGAAATAATCCCGAGCAGAATTGAAATGGGTTGTCTTTTTTTGGGGCAATATTTAAATGTTCCAATTTTGTTTTTTTTTTTTAATTTTTTTTGGGAGAAAATATCTTTTCAATTTATTATTCATTCATTCATTCACTCATTCCCGCACTGGCTCACAACACGCCACACGTGCTGACATAAATCTCCCTCAACGGCCTGCCATTGTCGGATACTTCACAGTTTTGCAAATGTTGCAACACATGTTGGCCACGCCGAATGCGGCCAAAGGCAATCCTTTTGCCATTCAAAACATCGATGGGCCTGAAACTCACACTGAAGCTGATGAAACGGAATTTACTGCCACGCAAATAACGGCTGGGAAACGACAGAATGCCTGCAGCACTGCCATGATTGATGGCCATCGGATCGTGTTCGATGTTGGGTATGGTCAGGGCATTCTTGTCCATCAAATGCAGTTCGGCCTCCAGCCAGAGGTGCAACAGGACACGGGTGAGTTTAAAACGTGCCGGCTGTTGGGCCAGGCAGATGCGTACAAATTGTAGAACAATTTCCGGACAGGCTTCGGTGAAGAGTTGGACAACCAGCCGTCCCAAAGGTTGGCCATGCTCTGAGTGCAAATCAAGAAATATTTGAGGTCTTAGCAGTTTCATCAGCTGGCTGGGACTTTTTATGAATGGCAATTGGCGATAACGTTGCCAGACATGATAGGGTATATCGCTGGACAAACTTGGGCCGGTACGTTGCTTGCATTTCAATTTCTTGCTGCCATGATCCAATGATAAGCTGGATGAGTTCGAGTCATGTGTGGTTAATTGCCGACCTCCGACTTCCTTGAAAGGACAACAGCTACATGATTGTCTCAACGCCACTGCATTTGGAGATTGTGTAAAAGTCCTGCTGCTGCCTTTCTGACACAGAGCCATCATCATTTCAAGGAAAGTTAATTTTCTTTGTTCCCCCGGATCTCCGTTCCGCTTGGCCGGCGCTTGACTATTTACCAAGCTGGTGGCATTTTGAATGCGTAAACGATGTTGACGATATCTTTTCTTGCGTTCAATTTCATTCATGTTGCGGATTTTGCATAGTAATTTTCTCCAAGAGAGTTTGGGGGAGAGGATATGGAATTTTTGGGAAATTTGTTCTCCGAAAATTTTCAGAAAATTGGAAAAAATTTTTTAGTATTATTTTTTAATTGTCAAATTTTGGTTTTTGAGAAATGCACTGAAAAAAAATTGAGTTCGATTTTTTTAAATGGCATTAACGGTGGGTTTAAAATAAGTTGCTCGAGTGGCGTATAAGTGTTGACATCCATCATACGCACCATGGGTCCGAGAAATTAAAATTTAAAAGTAAAAATCATGGCCCATATAAGGTCGATCGCTAAGACCATCCGACGACAACTTCACAAAACGGTCTTAAAAAAAGAAAAAAATCAGGTCACAGTGGCGTATAATTAACGCCGTTACTCATACGCACCAAGGAGGGCGAAATCACTTTGAAGAAGCCCAAACATTTGACGGTATCATAAGCTCTCTATCATACTGTAGGCTTCTCAATCTCACTAGAGCCTCGCCAGCTCACTATAGACTCTCAGACTCATCACAAGCTCGCCAGCACCCTGGAGGCTCTGCACCTCTTCTAAATCGACTCCCTGGTTTAATATAAACTCACTATAGGCTTGCCAGTTAACTGGAGGTTCTTCAGTTTTCTATAGGATTGCCAGCTCCCTAGAAACTCACCAGATCAATATGGGCTAGCTACAAACTAGCCACTTCACTGTCGGCTCACCAGATCTCCATTGGCTCATAAGAATAATATAGGCTCACTATAAGCCCGTCAACTCAAAATAGAGTTGCCAGCTCACTATGGGCTCTCCAGCTTTTTGTAGGCTTGCCAACCAACTTAAAGCTTACCAGCTCATTATAAGCTCACTAGAGGCCCAACTATAGGGTCAATAGATAAATATAGGCTCACCAGTTCTAAAAAGCTTCGCCAGTTCACTATAGACTTTTTGACACATCATAAGCTCGCCAGCTCACTGTAGGCGTCCAGCGCTCGATTTGCTCTCCAGCTCACCTTCAGTTATCCAGCCTACTATAGAGACTCCAGATCGACTCACTGGCTCAATATAGGCTGACTATGAGCTCGCCAGTTAACTACAGGTTTGCCAGTTATCCATTGGGTTGCCAGGTTTTTAAAAGCTCAACAGACCGATATAGGCTCACTATAAACTCACAACTTCACTGTACGCTCCCTATAGGCTAACAAGCCCAATAAGGGCTCCCTATAAGACCGAAATCTCTAAATTGAGTTGCCAGCTCATCAGCATAAGTTCACTAGCTTATTATATGAAGGCTAGTCAGCTAACTATAGACCTACCAGCTCATTATTAGCTCTCTAGGGGCCCGACTAAAGGGTCAATAGATAAATATAGGCTCACTAGTTCTCTTCAACTCATTATAAGCTCGCAAGCTCACAGTAAACACCCAGCGCACGATTTGCTCTCCAGCTCACCTTCAATTATCCAACCTACTATACTGACTCCATATCGACTCACTGGCTCAATATAGGCTGACTAAAAGCTCGCCTTTTAACCACAGGTTCGCCAGTTTTCCATTGGATTGCCAGGCTTTTAAAAGCTCAACAGATCGATATAGGTTCGCCACTTAACTGTACGCTCAGCATGGGCTCACAAGCCGAATATAAGCTCGGTCTAACCCATCCAACGTACAGCAGAGTTACTAGCTCACTTCGGGTTCATCAGCTCACTAGAGGCCCGACTTTAGTCTCATCAGCTCAATATAGGCTCTCTATAGCCTCGCCAGCTCACTAAGGACTCATAGGCCCTACAACTATTTATAGGCCTACCAGCTCAATAAAGGTCTCTATAGCCTTACCAGTTAACTATAAGCTCAGCAGTTCCATAAAGTCTTAACATGGCCTCAATATAGATTCACCACCTTGTTATGACCTTACTAGCTTAATATGGGCTCTCAAGCCCTCCAGGTCACTATGGAATCACCAGCTCAATATGGACCCATTATAACCTCAACAGCCCCATTATAACCTCAACTCGTGAGCTTACTACAGGCTTAACAGCTCAATATAAGCTCACTATAAACCCACCAGTTTACCATGGACTTCCTAGTTCGCCCGACCGGCTATGCTGCGGACAGGGTCAGTTTTCTATAGGATTGTCCGCTCATTATAAGATCACCAGATCGATACAAGGTCACTATAATCTCACCACTTCACTGTAGGCTCACCAGCATACCATAGGCTTACAAGCATAATATAGGCTCACTATAAGCCCTACAGCTCACTATGGGCTCTTCAGCTCAATATAGGCCCTCTATAGTCTTGCCAGCTCACTTTAGATTCGTAAGTTTCCTACAGGCTTAACAGCTCAATATAAGCTCATTATAAACTCGTCAGTTTACCATGGATTTGCCAGTTCACTAAGTGATTGTCAGCTTATTGTAGGCTCATCTGTTAAATTTAGGCTTTCAATAGCCTCACCAGCTCATTGTAAGCTCAGCAGCTCATTGTAAGCTCAGCAGCTCCACGAAGACTTAATATTGGCTCACTAGCTCGATATGGGTTTGCTAGCTCTTTATAGGTTAACAAGCTCAATATAGGTTCACTACAATCGCATGAGCTTACTTCAGGCTCATTATTTACACTATAGTTCAATATAGGCTCACTATTGGCTCACCAGCCCAATATAGGTGCCCTATAAGTCTGTCAGTTTATCGTGAACTTTGGCAGTTCACTATCGGCTCGTTGGCTCACTAGCTTACTATTAACACAATGACTCACTATAAACTCACTATGGCCTCAACAGCTCAATATTGGCCCATTACAGGCTCGCAGACTCACTTTGGGCTCGTTTGCTAACTACAGACCAACCAGTTTAATGTAGACTCATTGTAAGCCCCTCAGCTTCACCAAGGACATGTCTGGTTATTGCAGACCGACTAGCTCAGTATAGGTTCACCTGCTCACTATGGCCTCACTAGGTCGATTTAGGTATATTATGTGCTCTCAGGCAAACCATGGGCTCGCAAGCTCACAACAGGACTACCAGCTCTATATTGGTTCACTATAAGCCCCTCAGCTTCACAATGGACATAACCTGGTATTTTAGACCGACTAGCTCAATATGGGTTCACCTGCTCACTATGTCCTAATCATATCAACGAAGGTCTATTATATGCTCGCAGGCTCACTATGGACTCGTAAGCCCACTCCAGGACTACCAGCTCAATATAAGCCCTTTAGCTTAACCATTGACATACCAGCTTATTGTAGACGGACTAGCTCAATATAGGTTAACCTGCTCATTATGTCCTCACCACGTCAATGTAAGCCCATTATATGCTTGCAGGCTTATTATGGGCTCGAAGTTCACTACAGGACTACCAGCTCAATATAGGCTTACTATAAGTCCTCCAGATCATCATAGACTTGATAACACACTATAGGCTTACTATAAGCGCTGCAGCTCATCATAGACTTGCCCGCTCGCTAGAGACTAGCTAAGCACACTATTGGTACGCCAAGCTTACAGTTGGATCGTCAACTTAATAGAGGCTTTCCAGTTAATTTTAGGCTCATCAGCTCATTTAAGGATAGCCAGTTCTCTACAGAGCACATTTAATGGTATTGGGAAACTGCAACTCAGGATGGCTGAATAATGAATTCTAAAAAGAAATTAACAAGGTGACGTATACTTACTGTCAGTAATTATACGCCACAGTGTTCTCCGCACGAAACATGATTTTTTAGGCTGTCAGGTTAGGGTTTCCATAAGAACTTTTCCATTCAGCCACCCTGAATTATAATTCCAATAAAAAAAAAATAATAATAATAAGTATTGCCATCACTTACACGCCAGGGTGTTCTTCAAAGAACACATTCATTTTACACTGCAATTGTTTTCATCTTCCCCCCCTTTTTTTTCTTTTCCTATTTCTTTTTTTCTGCAGCATTGCAATGGACCTGAAATCCGGTACATTATTGGTACCACCGGCAGTTAAAAACTCAAGTTGTTCCCATCCCCGCTATACCAGCCATAATTTCCTGCAGCATGTCGGCATTGTTGAGACCGTCGAGGCGGTGCTAATACTCATCCTAACGCTGGGCGTAATTGGGGCCAATGCCCTGGTCATATTTGTCATAAACAACAGACGCTATTCACCCTATATACATCAGCAGGTAAAGTAGAATAAGAATTGGTCTTTGTTTTTTGATTTGAATTATTCAATTTGAAAAATGCTCCTCCGTTTTTTTGTTTGTTTGTTTGGGAGATGGAACTGTCTGGCTGCAGCTGCCGTGGCATTAAAAATTCCCTTCGTTTTTGTTCTGCTGCTCAATTTACTGACATGCTGTCCTATTTTTTGTTTTCCTTTCTCTTTTTTGTGTTTTCACTTCCGTTCGATAATGGTGGCGTTGGCTTGGACTGCTGCTGTTATCGTTGTGGGTCATGTCTGGTGTCTGTTGTCCGCATTTGAATTTCGCAGCCTCGTTATTTGCTAACATCGCTGGCTTTGAATGACCTCACCATTGGTTTGCTCATCACCCCCTTTGGTCTACTGCCAGCATTGTTCCATTGCTGGCCTTATGGTGAAATATTTTGCCAGATTCAGGTAAGTTGGAAAAACTTAGAATGGGAAAATTTCAATTTAGCCAAGGCTGAATTTGGATTTTTAAAGAAAAAATCTCTTCTAGGCAGAAAAGAAATTCTGAGGAGGTCCCGAATTAAACCAGGTTGAGTTGAGATTTCCAAGAAAATATTTTTATTTTTTTTTTGGTTTCAGGGTCTCTTGCGCGGTGCATTATCCCAGCAGAGTGCTGTCATCCTTGTCTGCATGGCCGTCGACAGATATATGTGTTCGCTACATCCGCGTCGCTACTATCAACATTCGAGTAAAAAGGTAAGTTAGGGAAAACCTGTTTATATTCATCGATTCTGGAATTCTCTCTTCTCTCCCTTGATTTTAATTTGCTGGTCCCATAAAATACCCAAAAACGTGTTGTCCCCCGTCGTTTTTTTTTTTTAGATTTTTTTGAGATTTACATAGTTTCCACTCTCGCTGCAAAATCGCCACCTCATTGTAGACTAATCAGGTCAATACAGGTGTAGCAGCTTACTATAGACTCATTATAAGCTCACCAGCTCAGTAGAGGCCATGGGGCTTATTATATTAATATAGGCTCTCCTGCTTAATATAGGTTATGTAGAAGCTCAAAGGTTTACTATATGCTCAACAATTCTCTATAGGCTCCCAAGCTCAGTATAGACTCTCCAGCTCACTATGAGCTCGACAGATCACCATATGCTCACCAGTGTGGGCTCGCCAGTACAATATAGACTCGTTATAGACCCGAGAGCTCACTACAGGCTCAGAAACCTCAAGTAGGTCTCCCCATAGAGACACCAGCTCACTGTAGACACACCAGCTCAATATAGGCTCATCACCTAAACATGAGTTCACTATTTCCATATAGTCTCATCAGCTCACCATAGGCTCGACAATTCAATATAGGCTCATTGTAAACTCTCCAGCTAACTCACCAGTACAATATAGGCTCATTATAGGCCCGAGAGCTCACTACAGGCTCAGAACCTCAATTAAGGCCCATACAGTCACCAGCTAACTATAGACCCATCAGCACAATATTGGCTCACAACTGAACATAGGCTCACTAAAGGACCAACAGCTTATTATAGGCCCAACAGCTTACCATAGGCTTTCTTCTTCAATATAGGCCCACTATGATCTCGGCAGCCCACTATAGGCTCACTAGCTCAATATAGGCTCATTATAATCTCTCCAATTAACAAAAGACCCGACAGCTCGCTATAGACTCACTAGAAGCTCATCAGCTAACTATAAGACTATAGCCTCAACAGCTCAATATAAGCCAAATAGAAGCTCACCAGTGCAATATAGCCTCATTATAGATCCCAGAGCTTACTATAGGCTCAGAATCTCAATTAAGGTTCCTATAGACACACCAACACAATATAGGCTTACCACTTAAACATAGGATCACTAAAGGACCAACAGATTACTATAGGCTCACATCTTCAATATAGGTTCTCTATAATCTTGGCAGCTCACTATAGGCTCACCAGCTCAATATAGACTCATTATAAGCTCTCTAGTTAACAATAGACCCGACAGCCCACTATAGACTCACTAGAAGCTCATCAGCTCACTATAGGCCCGACAGAGTATTATAGGCTCAACAGCTAAATATAGGCTCAATAGAAGTTTACAGGTTCTGTATAGACTCACCATTAGAATATGGGCTAATTATAGGCCAACCACTAATTATTGATCCGAGAGCTCACTATAGGCTCACAACATCAATTAGGACTTCCCACAGAGTCACCAGCTCGCTACAGACACACCAGCTCAATATAGGCTCATCATTTAGACATAGGCTCACTAAAAGCCTAAGAGTTCATTATGGGCCCGATAGTTTACCATAGGCTCTCTACTTCAATATAGGCGCTCTATGGTCTCGGCAGCTCACTTAAGAATCACCAGCTCACTATAGGCTCGACAAATCACTATATGCTGACGAGCTTAATATAGGCTCATTATAAGCTCTCCAGTTCACTGTAGGCCCAACAGCTCACTGTGGGCTCACTAGAAGCTTATCAGCTCACAACAGATCGCTATAGGCTCATTTGAAGCTTTACCCGTACAATATAGGCCCAATAGCTTAGAATAGAACCGACATCTCACCTATAGACTCACCAACTCAATATAGGCTGTCGGCAACTTCAGCAGTTTTCTATATGCTTCCCAGCTCACGATGGGCTCAATATAAGCTTTCTAGTTCACTATAGGCTAAGTAGCTCAACATAGGCCTCCTGCTCAGTATAGCCTCGAAGGGTCACCATTGGTTTGTCAGGCTCCCTATGGACTCGTCAGTTCACTTCAAGTGCACCAACTGACTATTAGATTCCTAGATCACTAATAGCTCACTTATGACTTACTATAGGCTCACTAGCTTACTGTGGGCTCAACAGTTCACTATAGGCTCTCCAGATCACTATTGGCTCCCTATGTCGCTATAGCCTTGTTAGGTCACTCTAGGATAGCCTATAGTTACTATTAATTGAATTTAGGCTCGGTAGCTCACTATAGACTCTTTACGCCGTTATAGACTTGAGAGGTTACGCTTAACTTGCCAGCTCACTAATGCTTGGCTATAAATTGCTCACAATATACTTGCTAGCTCAACATAGGATCTCCAGATTACTATAAGCTCGCTAGGTAACTATAGGCTCCCTAGGACTCTATGGGCGTGCTAACGGCTCACCAGCTTACTTTGGGCTCAACAACTCACTGTAAGCTCTCCAGCTCACTATGGGCTCCCTAGAGCACTCTAGCCTTGCTAGGTCACTATTGGATCGCCTATAGTCACTATGGATTGATTATAGGCTCGTCAGCTCACTATAGCCTCTTTACGTCATTATAGCTTTGAGAGGTTATTGTGAATTTGTCAACTCAATATTGACTCGCCAGCTCACTAATGTTTGGCTATAGATTCAATTGCTCACAATAGACTTGCTAGCTCAACATAGGATCTCCAGATTACTATAAGCTCGCTAGGTAACTATAGGCTCCCTAGGTCTCTATGGACGTGCTAACGGCTACTTAAGGCGCACTATAGGCACACCAGCTTACTTTGGGCTCAACAAGCCACTATAAGCTCTCCTGCTCACTATTGGCTCCCTAGGCCACTGTAGCCTTGCTAGGTCACTATAGGATCGCCTATAGTCACTATGGATTGTTTATAGGCTCGACAGCTCACTATAGCCTCTTTACTTCATTATAGACTTGATAGGTTACTCTAAACTTGTCAACTCAATATTGACTCGCCAGCTCACTAATGGTTCACTATAGACTCAATAGATCACAATAGATTAGATAGCTCAGCATAGGCTCTTTAACTTACCACAATCCAGCTAGGTGACTATAGATTCCCTAGGACTAGGACTATGGGGTCACTATAGACTCATTACGCTCCCAAGGCTCCCAAGGCTACAAAAGGCTCAATAGCTCTATGTAGACTCGCCATGTCACTAATGGCTCTCTTTTGGATCTCCAGCTAACAAAAGGCTCGTAAAATTACCAAAAAAATATATATTATTATAATTTTTTGTTTAAGTCCCAAGTTTTGGACATGGACATTAAAATTTAAGCTAAAATGTCTTTTTTTCTAAATGTGACATTGAATGTGACACGGAAGAGAGGTGTAGCGGGGTGGGAGGGGTAGTTTGGCAGAACAATGCCAATATTACAAGGATCTATTTTACACAGTTTAATGTTCTACTTGTTTGTTGTTTCGGGGAAAGTTGGCTTTAACTGAGTTTGGAGTGGCAGTAAAAGAACGAATTCAGGGGCGTAGGCATTGGGGGAGGGGGCTTAAGACTGATATATTTTTCATTTTTTTTTTTCTAGAAAAAAGTCAGACATCCTCTCCAAGGAGCTTTTAATTTGTTCTTGCGGATTTAAATGACTTTTCGACGTCCCCCCTTCCTCTACGCCCCTGGCACAAATTTGACACGAAACCAAAAAGTTTGTTTTTTTCGAAAACTACTACAAGAAGATAATGTAAACGAATTGAGTTGGTTATATTATTTTTGTTTGTTTGGCTTGGCTTGGCTTGGCTTATTGTGGCCCAACATTCATTGGAGACCATTTGGCAGCCTCAGCCAAGTCAGCCCACTTAAGGATTAGTTGGGCAACTCACAGAAAACCAAAAACAATGGCAACAACAAAATTTCAGAATAAAAAATAACAATTACTTGGAGTATTGAAACTACAACAAAAGTGAACAGAGCTAGGGGCGGGCAGGGGGCTGTAACGAAACGTATCTTTATTTTGTAAATGATTTTGAATGAGATAAGTGTTATTACTTTGGAATTTTCCAAAAAATAGATTTAATAAAAGTTACTGGAGAAAATTTATGATATTGAGAGGAAAATGGAGAATTTTTCAAGGGGAAAATCATATTCGGAAGGCAGAATAAAAGATTTCCCATGGAAAACCCTATTTAGAGGGGCAGAATAGAGGATTTCGTGTGGGTTAACCACTTTTGAAGATAAATTTCCCCCAAAGAAAATTCCAGTTTTTCAACGAGCTGCATTGAAAAATCCGGGCTGAGTGGAAGATTTCCTATGGAATACATTTATTAAACCCAGCAGGATAGGGAGATTTATCCTGCTGGGTTTAATAAATGTGTTCCCATTGAAAACCCCAAGTAACCCATGGAAGACATTCTGGTATTTCTTAATGTAACTCTGTCTTTGATTGTGTTTTTTTACAATTTTTTACCTTGGAATTTTCCAAAATTAGATTTAGTGAAAATTTCAGAGAGGAAAATAGAATTTCCCAAAGAAAATTCTGTAGAGAAGGACTGAATGGAATATTTCCTAGGAAAAAAAAAAAAAACACTACTCACCGGGCTAAATTGAAGATTTGGGCAAGGGCAACCCCTTTTAGCCGGGTTGTACAGAAATTTTTCCAAGAAAATTCCCTATTTACCCAAGCTACAATGAGGTTTTCCCAAGGAAAATCCTATTCATCCAGGCTGATTTGGAAGATGGAAGATTTCCCAATGTAAAACACTATTCGGTTGAGAAGAATATATTTATTCTCATTGGAAACCCCATGCAACCCCTGAGATACCTTTTAGTAGTTTTTAAGAAACCCCAGAAAAATTCAAGGGCTTTCGTTTTTAAGGGTTTCCCAGAAAAGTTCAAGGACTTTCGTTTTTAAGGGTTTCCCAGGAAAATTCAAGGGATTTCGTTTTTAAGGGTTTCTCGGGAAAATTCAAGGGCTTTCATCTTTTCTTTTAAGAAAAGGATTTCGCTGACAATATTTTTTTCTTAGAGAACATCTAAGTATAGCAAATTTATAGCCATGCACCGAACATTCTTGCAATGCAGTCTAGGGTACAATGGGTACTCTGGGTATGGCTGAAAGGCAAATCAGCCTAAATCACATTTTTAATTTTTTTTCACAATTTCCTTCATTTCTCCAGTTAATAAGAGGCTCAGCAACTTACTATAGGCTCACTAGAAGCTCATCAGCTATCTATAGGCCTGACAGCTTACTATACGCTCACCAACTCAATATAGGCTCACTAGAAGCTGATCAGCTCTCTATAGGCCTGACAGATCACTATAGGCCCACGAGCTCAATATAGTCTCACTAGAAGTTCGCCCACAGTTCAGTGTAGGCTCACCAGTAAAATATTGGCTCATTATAGGTCCAACCACTCATTATGGGCCCGAGAGCTCACTACAGGATCACAATTTTAATTAAGGCTACCCATGGAGTCACCAGCTTACTATAGACACACCAACCCAATTATAGGCCTGACAGCTTACTATAGGCTCACTACTTCAATGTAGGCTCTCTGTAGTCATGGTAGATAACTATAGGCTCGAGAACTCTCTATAGACACTTGAGCTCAATATAGGCTCAATTGAAGCTCGCCAGTTCAGTGTAGGCTTAAGAGTATAATATAGGCTCACTATAGGCCCAACAGCTCGCCATAGACCCGACAGATCACTATACGCTCACCTGCTCAATATAGGTTCACAAGAAGTTTACCAATTTACTAGAGGCTTAACAACTCACTATAGGTTCACAAGCTCAATATCGTCTCACAAGAAGCTCGCCCACAGTTCAGTGTGGGCTCACCAGTAAAATATTGGCTCATTATAGGCCCGAGAGCTCAGTACAGGCTCACAATCTCAATTACGGCTACCATGGATTCACCAGTTACTATAGACACACCAGCCCAATATAGGCTCACCACTTAAACATAGGCTCACTAATGGCCCAACAGCTCATTGTAGGCCCGACAGCTTACCATAGGCTCACTATTTCAATATAGGCTCTATATGGCCTCGGCAGATAACTATAGACTGAACGGCTCAATATAGGCTAGACAACTCACTATATGCTGACCAGCTCAATATAGGCTCAATATAGATTCATTATAAGCTCTCCAGTTCACTGTAGGCCCAACAGTTCACTATAGGCTCACTAGAAGCTTATCAGCTCACTACAGGCTCACAATCTCAATTAAGGTTACCCATAGAGTCACCAGCTCACTATGGACACACCAGCCAAATATAGGCTCACCACTTAAACATAGACTCATTAATGGCCCAAAAGCTCATTGTAGGCCCGACAGTATACTACAGGCTCACTACTTCAATATAAGCTCTCTATAGTCTTAGCAGCTCACTATGGGCTCGACAACTCATTATAGGTACATCAGCTCAATATAGGCTCAATAGAAGCTGGTCAGCTCAGTGAAGGCTCACCAGTACAATTTCCTATAACTCTCCAATTAACAAGAGGTTCGACAACTCACTATAGGCTCACTAGAAGCTCACCAGCTCAATATAGGCTCTCTTAAAGTTGGCAGGCTCAGTGTATGCCACCAGAATAATAAAGGCTCATTATAGATCCAACCACTCATTATAGGCTCGAGAACTCACTACAGGTTCACAACCTTAATCAAGGCTACCCATAGAGTCACCAGCTCGCTATGGACACACCAATATAGGCTCACCACTTAAACATAGGCTCCCTAATGGTCCAACAGCTCATTGTAGGCCAGACAGCATACTATGGGTTTACTACTTCAATATAGGCTCTAAATAGCCTCGGTAGCTCACTATGGGCTCGACAACTAATTATAAGCCCACCAGCTCAATATAGTCTCAATAGAAGCTGGTCAGCTCAGTGTAGGCTCAGCAGTACAATATAGCCTAACTATAGGCCCAACAGAGCACTATAGACTCACCAGTTTCCTATAGACCCGACAGCTCACTATGAGTTCACTAAAAGCTCATCAGCCAGCCAGACAGATCACTATAGCCACACCTGCTCAAAATATCTTCACTAGAAGTTCAACAGCATCCTAGAGGCTAAACAATTCACTATCGGCTCACCAGCTCCATATAGGCTCAGCAGCTCAATATAGGCTCACTAGAAGATCGCCAGTTCAGTGTGGGCTCACCAGTGCAATATAGGCTCATTATAGGCCCAAACACTCATTATAGGTCCAAGAGCTCACAACAGGCTCACAACCGCAATTTGGGTTCCCCATAAAGGATTTCGCTGACAATACTTTTATCTTAGAAAGCATTTAAGTACATAAAATTTCTATCCACCCGCAGAAAAAAAATCTTGTAATTTTGACAAGGGTACAACGATTCTGGTTATGGTGTAAAGGCAAAGTAGCCTAAATCAAAATTTTTAAATATTTTTTTTTATAATTTCTGATATCGGAAGTCCCTTATCTCTTAGTTTTAATTTTAATAGTTATGTCATTTTGCTACCTTTTAAGTATATCAAATTTATATCCACCCGCAAAAAAAAATCTTGTAATTTTGTGAAGGGAACAACGATTCTGGTTATGGTTCAAAGGCAAAGTAGTCTAAATCAATTTTTTTAAATGTTTTTTTTTTTATAATTTCTGATATCGGAAGTCAAATTCCCTTACTGTTAATTTTATTAGTTAAACCATTTTGCTTTTTACCTACCTTAAATGGGGGCTTTGGCCCATCACCCCTACATTGACCTGATGTGAGAGACACACACACAGCCGTACACCTGAATTTTATTAACATATATTATAATTTAATGAATTTTTCCCTAACCCCAAGAAACAGCAGCAGCCTGGGAACCCCATGCTGGGTTCCCATGCAGTAGCCATGCCTAAGGACATTGTTAATGTACATTTACGTAACATGTTTTCTTTTTTCTTTCTTTCTTTTCGTCTCGTCTCATTTCTCCAATGGCCTGTGGACTTTAGGGTTGTGTGGCCGTTCTTAGCCTGACTTGGATTATAAGTCTGACAATATTTGGCTTTTTAGTTTTGCCCAAAGGTAAGTAAATAATGTGTCTGTGTGTGTATGTTTATGTGTGGGTGACATGGCATTTAAATCTTGATTTCCAAAGGGAGGCTAAGGAGGCCAAATTTTAAGCCAAGCTAATGGGAGGTAATTTGGGTAATGAAATGAGAAATCAATCAAATAAAAATCAAAACTGACGTGGGGTGGGGATTGGAGAACCTCCAATATCACCCTTGATTGAAATTCGCCTAAAAATAGAGATAATGGGAGCGTATACGTTTTGTCATTACTTATACGCTCCCATGGCAATCATGGTTTCCTTAATTATCTGAGCCCTGGGGAAAGGAATTTCTATTAAATTTATTTCATTAAATGTTTAAAAAATATCTTTTGTGTTTTTCTCTTCTTGTCCCCTCTCCCCTCCCCCTCCTCCCTTTCTCCTAACCCTCTTTTTCAGGCTATTATTTCAATAACACCGGTCTAATGGCCTGTGAGCCATTCTACAGCAAGGCCTCATATCGAATATTGGCCACATGTGGTTTTTATTTCCCCACCACCATGGTGCTAATGTACTGCTACGGCTCCAGCTTTCATATGAGTCGTTTCGCACCCAACGAACCAACAATGCCGCTGACAGCGGCCCTGCAACATCCAGCCTATCAGCAGCAGCAGCATCATCACCAGCAGCAACAGCAACACCCACCCTACTATCATCCCTATCACACACACATGCACATGATGCATCATCCGCAACATCATCAGCAGCAACAGCAACAACAACATCAACAACAGCTACACCAACAAGCCCAGCAACATCACCAGCTAAGGCGGGGAGACAGTGCCGGCAGTGGTGGTGGTGGCAGTACTGTGGCAACGCCATCCAGTGTGGATGGCAACACTCCCATGGGTTGTCTGAACACACCCACAACAATGCTGCCCAATACCCCGGTGATGAACCTCAGCATGGCCATGAGCATGGGCTTGGGTTTTGCGGGGAATAACATAACGAAAAAGGTTAGTTGGCAGCATCAAAAACACAAATAATGACAGGAAGGGTCAAGGGTGAGAAGCTACCAATCAGCTGAGACTGAATAGGAGTTTCCATGGCAAACCCTAATCTGGTTTTCCAAAGGAAAACTGCTATTCAGCCTGGCTGAATAAAGGTTTTCCATAGAAAAACTGCTATTCAGCCGGGATTTTCCATAGGAAAACGGCTATTCAGCCCGGCTGAATGGGATTTTCCATAGGAAAACTGCTACTCAGCCAGGCTGAATAGGAGTTTTCCGTAGGAAAATTGCTATTCAGCCGGGCTGAATAGGAGTTTTCCATAGCAAAATTGCTATTCAGCCTGGCAGAATAGGAGTTTTCCATAGGAAAATTGCTATTCAGCTTGGCAGAATAGGTGTTTTCCTTAGGAAAATTGCTATTCAGCCGGGCTGAATAGGGGTTTCCATAGGAACACTGCTATTCAGCCTGGCTGAATAGGAGTTTTCCATAGGAAAATTGCTATTCAGCCGGGCTGAATAGGAGTTTTCCATAGGAAAATTGCTATTCAGCCGGGCTGAATAGGAGTTTTCCATAGGAAATTGCTATTCAGCCGGGCTGAATAGGAGTTTTCCATAGGAAAATTGCTATTCAGCCGGGCTGAATAGGAGTTTTCCATAGGAAAATTGCTATTCAGCCGGGCTGAATAGGAGTTTTCCATAGGAAAATTGCTATTCAGCCGGGCTGAATAGGAGTTTTCCATAGGAAAATTGCTATTCAGCCGGGCTGAATAGGAGTTTTCCATAGGAAAATTGCTATTCAGCCGGGCTGAATAGGAGTTTTCCATAGGAAAATTGCTATTCAGCCGGGCTGAATAGGAGTTTTCCATAGGAAAATTGCTATTCAGCCGGGCTGAATAGGAGTTTTCCATAGGAAAATTGCTATTCAGCCGGGCTGAATAGGAGTTTTCCATAGGAAAATTGCTATTCAGCCGGGCTGAATAGGAGTTTTCCATAGGAAAATTGCTATTCAGCCTGGCTGAATAGGGTTTTCCCTAGGAAACTGCTATTCAGCCTGGCTGAATAGGGTTTTCCCTAGGAAACTGCTATTCAGCCTGGCTGAATAGGGTTTTCCCTAGGAAAACTCCCATTCCGCCCCTGCTGAAAAGGGTTTTCCATAGGAAAACTCCCATTCAACCCCGGCTAAAGAGGGTTTTCCTAGTAAAACTCCCATTCAGCCCCGGCTGAAAAGGTTTTTCTCTAGGAAAACTCCCATTCAGCCTGGCTTATTTAAATTGTTGCAAATTAAATTTCCGCATGTCCTTAAAGAAAATATCGCTCTTGACATCATTTTTCCATTGTGGCAGGACATTGTCCTCCAAGTCAGCCGCACATTTACTTAATTAACAATTCACCGATTGCTGTTTTTTATCTTTGTGTCCTACCCTCCCTCTGCCCTTCCTTTCTCCTTTTTATTAATTTAATGGAAATTTTGTCGGGCATTGTTTGTCGTGCCGTACCGGACCTTTTTGCAGATTGCCCCCACACCGCCGAGCCGAGAGAAGAAATCAAGTGGAGCCACGTCACGTTCCATGGCAGCTATTTCATTGGGCTTCATTGTTATGGTTACACCCTGGACAATCCAGGAAATTGTGGCAACCTGTACGGGTTCAAAGGCAAGTATTTAACCCCTGAAACTATGCAATAGAAAATAAATATATATAACAATGATAATGGAGCACACCCCTGATGATGGGTGGAGGGGGAGTTCCCCTTCCCTTCCCCCTCCTCCTCCTCTTTGGACAATGAGTAATTAATTTTTGCTGATGTTTTTTTCTGTTGCCTTTTTTCCTTCCTTTCTTCCATTCCAGCTACCTCCCTTTCTGGACTTTGTGGTCACCTGGACTGCCTTGAGCAATAGTTTTTGGAATCCCTTCATTTATTGGCTGCTAAATGATGACTTTAGGCGCATTAGCAAAAAGGTCATGAATCCTTGGAGGGTAAGTCCTTGTCGATGCCGGTTTTTAGTTTCATTTTTTTTTCGTTACAATTAGAGTTCGGTGTTTGGTATCCTTTTTTCCACTGGCTTGTATCCTTTTGATGACTACAAACGAGCACTCATTGTAAAGGGAGGACCAGGACCATGGATGTGTCTGGCATTTCTAATGGATTTTATTAAGCCGTTTATGTGTGCGATCATTTATAAGGATTAAATATAATTTATTGATATTTTTTTTTGGGAGGGGGGGGACCCATATGTGAATCCAAGCGAAATTAGGAGGTTTTTATTAAATTAAGAGGATTTTTCGTGAGGATGGATGGATGGTTGGAGAGAGATGGGGAGGGAGGGGGGTAGAGATAGGGGGAGGAGTGGTGTTAATAATATTGAGGACCCTCTATTGTTCATTGGAATATAAAATGCCAGGACGAGAGGGAGGTGGTAACAAAAAATTTTCCATGAAAAATCCTACTCAGCCGTGCTGAATTAAGGATTTTTCATGGAGAACCGAATTCAATGGTGTCGATTTCGGGATATTCTGAAGGAACATATATTGAGCTGGGATGGGCCAAAGGTTTTCCGGATTTAACTGGATTTTCCGGTGGAAAACTTCTATTCAGCCCGGCGGACTTTCCATGGAAAATTATCTAAAATTTCAAATAAATTTTTTTTTATTAAATTAAGAGGATGGATGGATGGATGGTTGGAGAGGTGGGGGGAGAGTGTTGGGGAGTGGTGTCAATAATATTGAGGACCCTCTATTGTTCATTGGAGTATAAAATGCCAGGGAGAGAGGGAAGGGGGTAATAAAAAATTGTCTATGGAAAGTCCTACTCAGCCGGGTTGAGTTGAACATTTTTCCATGGAGAACCGAAATAAACAGGGACGATTTCAGGATATTCTAAAGGAACATGTATTGAGCTGGTATGGGCCAAAGGTTTTCCGGATTGAACTGGATTTTCCGGTGGAAAACTTCTATTCAGCCCGGCTGACTTTCGATGGAAATTCTAAAATTTCCCATAAAAAATCCCAGTCAGTTACGCGGAATTGGGAATTTCCTGAGAAAGCCCTAATCCAACTGGGCTGAATTGCAAATATTTCAAGGAAAATCAAATTTAGCTCCACTGAATGGCGAACTTCCTAAGGTTTTCCCGACGGAAAATCCCATTCAACCAGTCTGAATAGCAGTTTTACCAAGGAAAATCCCATACAGCCAGGCTGAATGGCAGTTTTCCGATGGAAAATCCCATTCAGGCGGGCTGAATGCCAATTTTCCTATGGAAAATCCCATTCAGAAGGGCTGAATGCCAATTTTCCTATGGAAAATCCCATTCAGCCGGGCTGAATGCTAATTTTCCTATGGAAAATCCCATTCAGCCAGGCTGAATGGCAGTTTTCCTATGGAAAATCCCATTCAGCCAGGCTGAATGGCAGTTTTCCTATGGAAAATCCCATTCAGCCAGGCTGAATGGCAGTTTTCCCTATGGAAAATCCCATTCAGCCAGGCTGAATGGCAGTTTTCCTATGGAAAATCCCATTCAGCCAGGCTGAATGGCAGTTTTCCTATGGAAAATCCCATTCAGCCAGGCTGAATGGCAGTTTTCCTATGGAAAATCCCATTCAGCCAGGCTGAATGGCAGTTTTCCTATGGAAAATCCCATTCAGCCAGGCTGAATGGCAGTTTTCCTATGGAAAATCCCATTCAGCCAGGCTGAATGGCAGTTTTCCTATGGAAAATCCCATTCAGCCAGGCTGAATGGCAGTTTTCCTATGGAAAATCCCATTCAGCCAGGCTGAATGGCAGTTTTCCTATGGAAAATCCCATTCAGCCAGGCTGAATGGCAGTTTTCCTATGGAAAATCCCATTCAGCCAGGCTGAATGGCAGTTTTCCTATGGAAAATCCCATTCAGCCAGGCTGAATGGCAGTTTTCCTATGGAAAATCCCATTCAGCCAGACTGAATGGCAGTTTTTCTATGGAAAATCCCATTCAACCGAGGCTGAATAGCAATTTTCCTCTGGGAAAATCCTATCCAGCCGGGCTGAATGGCAGTTTTTCTATGGAAAATCCCATTCAACCGAGGCTGAATAGCAATTTTCCTCTGGGAAAATCCTATTCAGCCGGGCTGAATGGCAGTTTTCGTATCTGAAAATCCTATTCAGTCGGGCTGACTTTCCATGAAAATTCCAAAATTTCCCATAGAAAATCCCATTCAGTTATGCTAAATTGCAAAACTTCCCATGAAAACCCCCAATCCAACTGGGCTGAATCTGCAAATATTTCAAGGAAAATCAAATTCAGCTCCGCTAAATGGCGAACTTCCTGCGGAAAATATTATTAATCCTTCACCAAATTGTTGCTGCCTAATTGGATATGGCAAAAACGTGGCTGGAAAATGACTAGCAAAACGTTTACTTGGCTATAATTCAAATTCCATTTAGATTTCCTTACTGTCCTTGTCGAGGCATAACAAAAAAAAAAAAAAAAAAAAAAAAAATTAAATGTCCATAGTCCTGTTACGTGCCTGATTAGCTATGGCTGGAACTTACAAGAACTCTAAAAACACTGAGGGGGTTAGGTGACTAAATTCAGAGATCCCTGGATCCAAGTGGAAATAAATTGTTGTTGTTGTTGTTGCTTTATTTTTTTTTTTTTTTGGTGTTCATGGTTTGGAAGTTAAACCTCTTATTTAGTTCCAATTGTATTTAAGGTTAGGTTCGGTTTTTTTTTTCTTTTGTGGCTTTGTTGCTGTTGAATTTTTCTTTCCAATTTTCATTTGAATGTTATTGTTTGGAATTTTCTTCTTTTTTTCTCATTTCTCATTGGAGGGCAGGGGGATCCATTGCCTTCAAATGTTGGGCCATGAATGAATTGTTTGATTTGTTGTTTTAGTCTCTAGGTTTTTTTCTTGCTTTCATTTTTCCCCACAAAAAGGAATTTTCTTTGGTTTTTTTTCCTCGAAGAACTTGATGTCCTGTTGATTTTCTTTTTTTGTTGGTGTGCGAGTTCCATTCTTCTTTGATTCCATTTTCATAAAGCAGACAGTGCTAAAAGCTTTTTGTATTGAGTTATTGAATTGAAATGAATGAAATCTAATTCAATTTCTTTTTTTTTTTTGAAAAGGGGAAAGGGTTGCCTTGGCAAGGATAAATCTGTTAAAGGATGAAGGCATCGAAGTTGATTTGATTGAATTAAAGAAAGGGATGGGGAAATTTTAAAAAAGAATATTTTTGCAGGCTTTGAGATAAGTTTTATGGAAAGGGAATAGCCGTTTTCCCAAGGAAAATCCTGTTCAGCGAGGCTGAACAGCAGTTTTCCCGAGGAAAATCCTATTCAGCCAGGCTAAATAGCAGTTTTCCCAAGGAAAATCTAGTTTTCCCAAAGAAAATCCAGTTTTCCCAAGGAAAAATTCAGTTTTTCCAAGGAAAAATCCAGATTTTCCAAAGAAAAATCCAGTTTTTTCCAAGGAAAATCCAGTTTTTCCAATGAAAAATTGAGTGTTTTCAAGGAAAAATCCAGTTTTTCCAAAGAAAAACGAGGTTTCCTGTGGGAAATCCCATTCACCTAGGCTCAAAAGCAATTTTCCTATGGAAAACCTCTATTCAGCCCGGCTGAATAGCAATTTTCCTATGGAAAACCTCTATTCAGCCCGGCTGAATAGCAATTTTCCTATGGAAAACCTCTATTCAGCCCGGCTGAATAGCAATTTTCCTATGGAAAACCTCTATTCAGCCCGGCTGAATAGCAATTTTCCTATGGAAAACCTCTATTCAGCCCGGCTGAATAGCAATTTTCCTATGGAAAACCTCTATTCAGCCCGGCTGAATAGCAATTTTCCTATGGAAAACCTCTATTCAGCCCGGCTGAATAGCAATTTTCCTATGGAAAACCTCTATTCAGCCCGGCTGAATAGCAATTTTCCTATGGAAAACCTCTATTCAGCCCGGCTGAATAGCAATTTTCCTATGGAAAACCTCTATTCAGCCCGGCTGAATAGCAATTTTCCTATGGAAAACCTCTATTCAGCCCGGCTGAATAGCAATTTTCCTATGGAAAACCTCTATTCAGCCAGGCTGAATAGCAGTTTTTCCAAGGAAAACATCTATTCAGCCAGGCTGAAAAGCAGTTCTCCCAAGGAAAATCCTATTCAGCCAGGCTGAATAGCAGTTTTTCCAAGGAAAATCCAGTTCTCTCACGGAACATTCAGTTTTCCCTAGGAAAAATCCAGTTTTCCCAAGGAACATACAGTTTTCAAGGAACATACAATTTTCCAAGGGAAAAACCTATTCAGCCAGGCTCAATAGCAGTTTTTCCCAAGGAAAATCCAGTTTTCTACGGAAAAATCCAATTTTCCTATGGAAAACCTCTATTCGGCCCGGCTGAATGGCAGTTTTCCCAGGGAAAATCCTATTCAGCCCGCCTGAATAGCAATTTCCCCATGGAAAATCCTACTCAGCCAGGCTGAATAACAGTTTTCCTATGGAAAATCCTATTCAGCCAGGCTGAATAGCAGTTTTCCCAGGGAAAATCCTATTCAGCCGGGACTGAATATCAGTTTTCCTGTGGAAAATCCAATTTTTTATGAAAATCGTTTTTTTATGAAAATTTTCCGAAACGAAAATGCCTATAATTAGGAAATCCGTTGGCTATTATGTTCGTATTCTTGTTTGCCCTTATTATCCTTTTAATTTCAAATCATGTGTTTTATCCTTGACATTTTCTTCTTCTTTTTTTTTCTCTCCTTTCCAGTGTAAACGTCAAGAAGACACGCCGGAGAGTAAATCACCATGTTGTCACATAAATTCCGATTTAGAAATTACAACGCTGCCAATGCCACCCGAACCGCCAACATCTCGGCCACCGCAGAACAGTGGTGGCGGCGGTGGTGGCTCCATCATCGGTGGTAAACCTCATCTGTCATCGGGCAAAACAGCCTCTGTGCTGGGCATTTGCGCCCGGGGGCGCAGCAACAGCCTTAATCGCAGCTCTTCGTTTCACATTAAGAGCGGTCTACATTCCCACCACACGCATATGCGTCCCGACATCGAAGGACTTTCCGAGAAATACTGGGGTGAAATACTTGAGCGTACGGTTAGCTCGAATAGCCTGCATGCGGCTATGCAGAAATCGGTCTATGGCCCAACGGCCGCAATGCATGCCTATCACCATCCCTATCATCCGCCCACCCCGGCCACCAATACCATGACAACGTCGTTCAGCAAACACAGCGATCTAAATCTTCACATAACCGAACAGGATGATGTCCTGGTGGATTCGGGCAATACTGGGCACATGTCTGGCAGTGATCTCAATAAATTCTCCACATCCGAACCGAAGCTGTACCAACAGCAGCCACCGCAACATGACGACGATTATGACCAGGACGAGGCAACGCATTGTGCCAAAACAAAAGCCAATACGGAGGCAAATCGGACACTGGGCGTTGTCACCAACTCTGGAGGTGGTGGGCAGCACTTGAACATGGGACGTGGCGCAATGCCGGATATTTAGTACGCAGAGGATGTGATACAAGCAAATACGAAATCCCAAAATGCTTGTAAAATGTCGTTGGTGTCAAGTGGCGGACCGGGAGTGGGAGTGGGTGATGCCGCTGACAGTTGTGCGGTTAAAAAGTTCTTAACCATGTCCCGCAATCATCCCTGCCACAATACGACGACGGCAGCATCTTTTATGCCTCACTTTGGCAAATCGGCCACATTGACACGTTCGCGTTCCCGGCCATCAATGCCCTGTTTGCGTCACAGCAAGTTTTTGAGTAGGAGTGCCATTTTAACAAGTGCCAACAGCTCCTTTTACCCGGCCCTGTGCGAGAGTCACTACAACCTAGCAACAACAACAACAACGACACAGGTACCAACAGTACCACCGAAATTTGTGGCCATTGCCGTGCCTTTGGCTGAGTACCGGAAATGAAATATAACTTCGTTGACAGCCATGACTTTTCGCCTGGCCACAGCCTCCGTTCAATGGAAGGGACATCAGCTTGCATCTGGATGAAGTGGGGACTTCCTGATGTTTATTCAAGTGTTTTATTGTTGTTGTTGGCATGTGAGGCCTGTAAAACGCGTGGCAGTTCTTTGCATATCCTGGCGGCATAATTCGCGTTTTCATCTTCTGTTTTTGTTGTTCTTTGTTGCCTTACGCATTTCCATTTGTTTTCCCAAAGTTCTGTTTATTTTCCAAGTATTTACTTGTCCCGACAGATGGATGGTTGGATGGCTGGACTTGGCTGTTGGAGGCTCGAAATCTTAAAATATTTGTTTCGTCATATCATCGTGTAAATATGTATGTAACAGTGTAAATGTAGGCAAAAGTTCTTGTAATAATGTCAGTGTGTTTAGATCTCTAAGTGTGTGTAAGTGTCTATGTGTGTGTGTATGTGTCCTTTGATTGGCATTCAAATTGTATTTTCATAGAATTGTAAATGTATGTGTGTTTTGTGTGAAGCAGCGATGTCGTGAATATTTAATAAAGCCGCCGAAATATAAGTTAGTTAATAAGTGTGAAAATGAACATTAAGGTGGGGTGAGAAAACATTTTTTTTTTTTTGGAAAAAAATTTAATTTTTTTTTGGATTCTGGTCAGATTTGTTTAAAAAAAAATATTTTATTTCAAAATGGTAGTAAGTGTGAATAAGTATAGTAAGGTGGGTCGAGATACAAATTTTTATAAAAATATTTGAATGTTATTTTTTTAATCAGATCAGATTTTTTACCTATAAAATTTACATTTTAGACGGCCAATAAAATTTAGCAAATGTATACTAGGGTGGGGTTAATTTTTTTTTTTTAAACAATATATTAAAAATTTTGTGGAATTTTGGAGTTTTGCTCAGATTTCTTAAAATTTTAAGTGTGTGTATGTGTGCAAACGTACAGTAAGGTGGGTCGAGAAACAAATTTTTTTACGAAAATATTTGAATTTTTTTTTTATTCAGATCAGATTTTTACGTATAAAAAATACATTTAAGGTGGCCAATGCAATGTAGCAAACGTGAAATGTATAATAGGGTGGGGTGATTTATTATTTTTTTTAACAAAAAAAAAAAATTTTTAAATTTGTAATTTTGCTCGGATTTTAAATAAATTTAAAATGAATGAAAACGTACAGTAAGGTGGGTCGAGAAAAAAAATTTGAATATATATTCCAAATTTAGATTTTTTACTCATAAAAATTACGTTTACGGTGGCCAATGCAATGTAGCAAATACGAAATGTTTAATAGGGTGGGGTGAAAAAATATTTTTTTTTTTTGAAAAAAAAAATAATTTTCCTACTTTTGCTCAGATTTTTTAAAATTGAAAGAAAATAAATTTTTTAAATGAGATTAAGTGTAAAAACGTACAGTAAGGTGGGTCGAGAATTTTTTTTAATATATATTCCAAAGTTTTGTTATTTAGTTTAGATTTTTTTACGCATAAAAATTACATTTGCGGTGGCCAATGTAATGTAGCAAACGTGAAATGAATAATGGGGTGGGGTGAATAAATATTTTTTTTTTGAAAAAGAAAATTAAAATTTTTGAAATTTTGCTCAGATTTTTTAGAATTACAAAAATTAACATTTCTAAATGAAAGTAAGTGTGTAAATGTACAGTAAGGTGGGTCGACAAAAAAATTTCATAAATATTCCAAAGTTTATATGCAGTAAAGATTTTTTACTTATGAAAATTACACTGACGGTGGTCAATGCAATGTAGCAAGTGTAAAATGTATAATAGGGTGGGGTGAATAAATATTTTTTTATTAAAAAAAGAAATTTAAATTTTTGGAATTTTGCTCAGATTTTTTCAAATTTTAAAAAATTAACATTTCTAAATGAAATTAAGTGAGAAAAAGTACATTAAGTTGGGTCGAGGAATTTTTTTGAATATATATTCTAAAGTTTATCCATTAAGTTTAGATTCTTTTACGCATAAATATTACATTAAGGGTGGCCAATGACATATACCAAATGTGAAATGTATAATAGAGTGGGGTAAATAATTTTTCTTTTTGAACCAAAAATTAAAATTTTTGAAAATTTGCTCGGATTTTTAAAATTATAAAATCAACATTTCTAAATTGATGTAAGTGTGAAAACGTACAGTAAGTTGGGTCGAGGAAAAAAATTTTAATAAATATTCCAAATTCCAAAATTTTTGGATTTTTTCTCAGATTTTTTAAAATTATAGAAAATAAACACTTCTTAATGAAAGTAAGAGTGAAAACTCAAAGTAAGGTGGGTCGAGAAAAAAACTTTGTTAATATATATTTCAAAGTTTTTGTATTCATTTTTAATTTTTCCACTTATAAAATCTGAATTTAAAATGGGTAATGCAATGTAGCAAATGTAAAATCTACAATAGAGTGGGGTGAAAAAAATATTTAAAAAAATTTCCTGGTTTTGATCCGATTTTTTAAAATTATACAAAAGCATTTCTTAATGGAAGTAAGTGTAAAAAACTACCGTAAAGTGGGTCGAGGAATATTTTTTTGTTTAAATTCAAAGTTTTTTTGTTTTCACTAAGGTTTTTAAGTACAAAAATTGCATTTAAAATGGCCAGCAAAATGTAGCAAATGTACACTAAAGTGGGTTGAAAAAAAATGTTTTGAAAAAAACTCGTCTAATTCCGCTCCAACTATTTAAACATAAAAAAATTGCATTTAAGTTGATCAATACAACCTAGTAAGGGTGAGAACAAACACTAGGGTGGGGTGGAAAAAATATTCGTTTGACAATTTTTCGAGTCCTGCTCAGATTATTTAAAATTATAAAAAATATTTCTAAATTCAATTTAGCAAATGTGGAAACGTACACGTAGCAAATATACACCTTGGGGTTGGGTGAAGAAATATTATTTTGAAAAAAAAAAATTAAATGTATCCAATTCTTTTTTGGAAAAGGGTGGGGGGTGAGAATTATAATTTTATTATATATTATATTACAACATTTTTTTTTAATTCCACAAAATTCATATAAATCCATTTCAAAAAAAAAAAAAAAGTTTTTTGTAGCGACCCACCTCAATACACCCCTCCTTCATTATTTGCTTATGAGTTAATTAAAAATACTGTTTAATATAGGGATCGCAGGACTATTTGCATTATGTAAATGAAATATTGATACAATGTAATCGACAAAGGACATCGTCAGAGCAGCAGCTGGCGTTGAATCCTCCTAAAAGTCATGTCGCAAGGAATGAAGAAAAAAGAATAAAACTTAAATTCACGAAATTTATCTTCAATGGAAAGTTAAGGGAAGCCAATTTCATTCTTAAAGAATACTGTAATTTTTTTTTGGAATTCCAGGGGAAATTTGATTTTTGTGTTGAGGGACTTCAAATGCTAAAAGTAAGGATTTTTTAAGAATATTTTTGTAATTTCTAGTAACCCAGAAAGCTTTGAAAAAATTTAAGAATATCAAAACCAATACCCTTAATTTTGATAAGGAATATTATTCAAGAATTTTATATAAATTTTTCTAAAGACTCTCAGAGAAGTTAAGGTAGATATTTTAATAAATATTTTTAAGGATGCGCAGGCATCACAATTAAGATTTTCTAAAGGATATTTTCAAGGACTTCCACTGATGAAAATATATTTTTTTTAAGAAATACTCCTCAGGGACTCCCAGAGACATAGTTCAGGATTTTTAGAAGAATATTTTCAAAGACTCCTAGGATTGCATTGAGCATTGACATGGATATTTCAAAGCAGGGCGCCATAAACGTGGCTTTTTTGAAAAAAAGTAATTTTAAAGACTCCCAAATCTATTCAAATGAAAAATAAATTAAGAGTTATTATTCAGGACTCTCAGAGCGTAAATCGAGAGTTAATTAAAAATGATTTTTTAAGGACTTTTAAAGGCTTAATTTTTTATAATTCTCTAAAAATATTTTTGAGGTCCTCGTTGATAATGGATGTGAATTTTTCACTATATTTTTTAGGAGCAGTAGAGCATCGTATGTCTTCAAGGACTTCAACATGGGTTTAGAAACAAAATATTTTCAAGGACTTTCAGAGCCATAATTGTGGAATTTTTAAGGGATACTTTCTATAGGACATGCAGAGCCACAAATGTGTAGTTTTTTAAGGATAGTTTTAAAGGACCTTCCGATCCATCAACGTGAAATTTCCGATGGATAATTTCCTAGGACTTTCATAGCCAACAACGTGGAGTTTTAAAATTATAGTTATTATGGAATTTCAGAACAAATGGACTTTCGAAGCCACACATGTGAAGTTTTTAAGGATAGTTTTCAAGGACCTTCCGATCTATAAACGTAAAATTTTCTAAGGATAATGTTTAAGGACTTCTATAGCTATCAACGTGGAGTTTTAAAATTATAGTTATTATGGACTTTCATAGCCAACAAAGCCAACAAAGACCTTTTCAAGGTCTTTTTGAGCTGTTAAGGTAAAGTTTTTGAAAGACGGGATTAATTACGGAGCGGGATTTTTTTTTCAAAGACAGTCATTTAGTAAGCGTGACATTTTTAAAGATTTTTTTTTCCAAAAATT